GTGTGTGATGTCATCGGGTTATTCTTGTCCTGTTTTTATTACTTTGACTATTATTTGAGTCACTGTGTGTGTTCATGTGCCAGCTGACATGTTGTTGTAGTCACCTAAAAGCATCAGCAGATGGCAGGAGCTACATTTGAAGCGCCATACGTAAACTATCAAGCTACTGTATCTTCCACAGGAAGTTCTGACAAATGTTTCAGAATAAAAGTCTATTTAGAAAATGGAGGGATTCTCTCAGCCGAGGTTATAAGGGGCTTTTAATATGAAACAAGTGTTGAGTTTAAAATGACGGTGCGATATGTTAACTTTACAAAGACAACGGAGCGGATAAACAGTAAATATATAAACACACAGAGGGATTAATAAATAACGGAGCGTCTATAATGTAGTTTGTTTCAAATGAAGCTGGGAGCCTCTGCAGTTGTGGTGAGTAAAAGCCCCGCCGCTATTTGTTAATGTTATTACTTTCTGTCCGACAGTGAGGATGTACCGTTGTTTGCTAGCTTGATGCTAATGACAGTAACGTTAACTCAGCGGGTTGACAAAGTGCCTCTGCTGTTTCACACCATCATTTCCCCCTTTTACTCTGTGTGGTAACATCCCTAGAGGAAATATTAAAACGCTGGGGTGTTGTTGTCATGCAGTTGTCTACGGCAGCAGATCGTTCTGTGTTTCTACTGGTCAAAGTGACGGCTGTGATGGGAGAATTGGATCTCAGTGAAGGGCAAGTGGTCCATAACTTTAATTTTGGAGACAAAATAATGTAAGCTTAGCGCCCTGTAGTCCATTGGCCAATAGGAAATGTAGAATACTCAAAAGTACTTTAAAAGTACTTGAGTTACTTCACTCAGGGAGTAACGCAGTAAAGTAACTGGTTACTTTTTAAAAAAGTAACGCAGTAAAGTACTTTGATTACTTTTAAAGTAACCCTTACCCAACTCCGCACCGTGTCCTGACTGCATGTGAGCGTCAGACGTGTCACGCCACCTCGTGTTACATCAGACGCTCTCTGTCCACTCTGGATCCGTTAGATATGAACTCCGTCATGTTATGTAATCAAACCATTTACCCAGCAGCTGTGGTGTCAGTAACCACTGACCATGACTGTTGTCACGTAGGTAATAAAGTTCAAACTGAGCTGAGGAGTCTTTGTGTGTCTCAGTGTTCAGGAAGTACCCGGTGCAGCAGGTCCGGTGTCCTCGGGGCCTGCAGGAGGCGGACTTCCTGGACCTGCTGAGGTCCACCTTCCCTCAGCTCGCTGATCAGAAACGTTTCGACGTCTTCACGTCCGACAGGAGTAGGAGACTTCAGCCTCTGAGAGCGAAGACGCTGACGCCTGAGGAGATCTGTTGGAGCATCAGGCTGATGGGGTCTCGAAGAACTGCAAACTCTGCCCTCTACATCCGCCTGAAGGTACTTTGAATTTAATACGGGCACTTTGAAGAAGGTCCAGGATCCTCTGTGGATGTTCGAGGAGCCGTGTGGGAACATTAATCAGCTGAGAAGTGTTTCACTTAAATTGCGAAATAATCTTTGACCTGTAGATCTTCAAGCTAAACATCAGTGAAGTCATGTTTTCAGAGTATAGTCAGATGAAGGTGAGGCAGTTTGACGCAGACACAGTTTCTGCTGTCAAACATTTTGTGAAAGAAGTTTTTGATGGACCCTTTTTTGGTTGTTGTTTGTGAGAGTGTGTTCTGAGAGTGTTTTGGGAACAACTTGTTGCAGACAGGAGAGGATCCTCAGAGCAGCAGTGACAACCTTCATCCTCTGCAGAGAACAGATGATCCTCCGTCCGTCTCCGCCACGACGTCTGCTGATGAAACCGACACACGCACCAGGTAACTAAAGACAAGACGTCATGTCTGCTCAGAGTTCAGGTGTTCTTAGAAATACCATTCGCAGGCTGCAGGAATGATCATACTGGTTTTTCAGGTTATCGTCTCCCAGAGTTCAGTCTGAGAGGAGGAAGCGCGGCAGACCTCGCATTGGCGAAGAACCGACTCACCACCTGCTCAGAGTCTGCATGCTGGAGGACTCCCAGTCAGACTTGCTCTCAAACAAAGGTAACTATAAAGCTCAGCGTGTTTCCTGCCAGTTGACCCAGAGCTCCCAGTGACCTGTTCTTCCTCTACTCCAGTGCTGATGAAGTCCTCGGTACAGGAAGTCCGGTGTCCTCGGGGCCTGCAGGAGGCAGACTTCCTGGACCTGCTGAGGTCCGCCATCCCTCAGCTGGCGGGAGATGACAAACAGTTTGACGTCTTCAAGTCGGATCGCAGCCGGAGACTCCATCGTGTGAAAGTGAAGACGATGACGCCAGAGGAGATCTTCAGGAACACCAAGTCCAGCTGCCCCGACAAGACACTCCTCTACATCCGACTGAAGGTACGAACTACAGTTTGACTCTATGCTGACGACTCTGCTCTTACAGCTCCGTGATGCTCTGTGAGGCTCGATTCCTCACGTGTCGCAGGTTTCATAGATAGATTTTTTTTATTTAAAGCCTTTTTTTGTTTCCTTAAAACATCAACAGACAGGAGAGGAAGAGGAGGAGGAGGAGGAGCTTCGCCTTGTGCAGAGAAATGATGAGGTCACCAGTGATTCTCCGTCCTCCGCCGCTGTGCTGATCAGAAGTGACGGAGCCGACCTCAGTGCAAGGTAATGTAGAAATGAAATTTGTTTTCCCGACAGGAAATATCTAAAAGGCTGGGCTGTTGTTGTCGTACAGTTTCCACGGCAGCAGATCGCTCTGTGTTCCTATTGGTCAAAGTGACGGCTGTGACGGGAACGACTAAAAGAAAATCAAACATGCCAGACTTTCTGTCGGGACGTCGTGTGGCGTCCCAGACGTGGCGTCGTTTGTCGTCTACTTTAGGCTATAATCAGGCTGATATCGTGTAGTCTGAACCCGACATTAGTGACATCCCTAACGCAGTACTTCCTGTTCGATAGCTGACTCTCAAGTTACAAGTATTTCCTGGTGGTGTTCATGTCGACAGTCGACAAACTTTTCCACAAAGTAACTGATTGTTTTTGCTCCCGTCAGCCCCGTTCAACACGTGGAGGGTAACGGAGCGGACGTCCTGTCCAGCAGCTCAGCGTCACAACAACAGAAGGTGGGAACAAAGGAAGCTGATGATGGAGACGCTGCTGAGAGCCAGGTGGAGTCCAGCGACGACGACGACAAAGATGGAGATGAGGCGTTAGACAAAGATGATGACTGGAAACCCGACCCTGAGCTGGGGACGCCGAAGATGAGGAGGAAGCGAGGAGCCAGAGCATCAGGTGTAGAGGGGCGGTTGATCGGCAGTGATAAAATCCCCTGTAAGGTGTGTGGCGTTTGGTACAGGATACTGGGCAGCTTGATCAAACACGCCTGGAGCCACCTGGATGAGGTGCAGAGCGTCTGCGGCGTGTGCGGAGAGCGCTTTGAGTCCATGGAGGAGTTAAAGGTACATTTGAAAAAATATCAGAAAACTCACGAGTGCTCTTACTGTAGGAAGTCTTTCTTCACCATCACCGGCCTCAAGTGCCACACCACGCTGCACACAGGAAACAGACCGTTCAAATGTGACGTGTGCAACAAAAGCTTCCCTCACATGTCCGGCCTGAGTATCCACCGCTGGGTGCATGTGGAGGATAAACCACACAAGTGTCACATCTGCCCGAAGGCGTTTGGTCTGAAGGCGCAGCTGCGAGCTCACATCAAGGTGCACACAGGGCGAGACAAGTACCACTGTAACCTCTGCAGCAAGTCTTTCTACGACCTGCGATCTCTGACCAGCCACAAGGCCACGCACTCGGGGGAGAGGCGTTACAGCTGCGGCGTGTGCGGGAAGAGCTTCAAACTTCCTGGTACGTTAAAGTCGCACGAGAAGACGCACACGGAGAGAGAGCGGCCGTACCTCTGCCACATCTGCTGCAAGACCTTCATCTCAAACTGCAGCCTAACGGCTCACATGAAGACGCACAGCAGCGAGCGGCCGTTCATCTGCATCATCTGCAGCAAAGGCTTCATATCCAACGGCCGGCTCAAGGGGCACATGCTCATGCACACGGGCGAGGCGCCGTACGGCTGCTCGGAGTGCGGCCGCTTTTTTAAACACAAGAGTCACCTGAACAACCACGTGAGGAGCCACCTGGGCATCAAACTGTTCGTCTGCACAGTCTGCGGGAAGGCGTGCTCTCGCCAAGAACACCTGACGGTCCACATGAGGACACACAACGGGGAGAGACCGTACCAGTGCAGCGTCTGCGACAAAGCCTTCACTCAGAGCCACTGTCTGAAGACGCACATGAAGAGCCACCAGGGCGAAGAGAACCCGTTCCTGAACGCATCGTCGTCCTGAGAGACGCGTTTGATCACAGGTGGGACGGAGGTCGATTTAAAGGGCAAACACTGACATCATGTGTGAGCAACTTTAAACTCAACCAATTGGCAACGCAAAAGTATTTTCCAATTTTTACATTTTTATGTAGATGTTTCACATTTCAAAACTCTGTCTTCTTTTGTTAAATGGAAATTAAAAACAAAAATGTGGAAAAATCGTCCTGTTGTTGGCACTACAAAATGTCAAACAATAATCTGAGAAACGTTTTGATAGAAAAAGAAGCAAAACAAAAAAGTGCTTTAACAGTCAGTTGATTAACTGACAGATCGTTTAATTGATTTTTACACTGAATTTAGAAATCATGTCAGTACCAGGATTGAAGAACGTGTGATAGAGTTACTGTGAAGAGACAAAAAAGAGCTGTTAAAACAATCAGTCAGGTTCAAGAGCACTTTTAAAAATCAATAATTTTTTTGTGGTGTCAGAACTGAATTTCACGTACTGTAACCCAAAATAATAAATCATAACCAGCCCTACAGTTTTTAATTTAAAAAAGGAAGAAAGAAAGAAAGAAAGAAGTTGCTCAAACAGTTAATTAATGACTTAATCAAAAAAATTTAATTAGATTGAAAACAGACTCAATAATTGATTATTAGTTTTTGGTGTCATTATCAGTATGTTACTGGCAGTATTTAAAACATTCTAAGTTTTGATAGAAAGATAAAAACAAAAAAAGTTTAAACAATGAAACAATTAGTCAACTTAAAAAAAAAATTGATTATGTATTTTGGTATCTGTGCTGAAAATTAGGATCATATGACATATCGGTGTCAAAACATGTCTTTTATTTTATTATTATTATTATTATTATTTTAAATATTTTTAAATAGAAAAAAATGCTGGAACAATTCATTGATTAGTTGATCAGTATAAAGTAATAATTAATTATTTGTTTTTGGTAACGTTAAAATTCAGGCACGGTATCACCGCTAGCATTTACCAAGCCCCACTTTCTGGTAGAAAAAGAGAAAAACTAAAAAATAATTAAACCGTAAACTGATTCGTCATTCAATCCGACAAAAAAATCCAATTGGTTACATATTTTGCTATCTATACTGATAATTAGGAATCATATCAATACTTGTATTATCAGATATTGTCAATGATACCCAGCCCTGTTTATTTTTAAAGAAAGCAAAAATTGCTGAACCAGCTAATTAGCTAATTGCTAATTAGTTGATCAACATTCAATAACAACAATCTGAATGATTGATTATTGATTGTTTGTTTTTGTATGGCTGAAATTCAGTTATTGTAAAAGCACAAGTGTTAAAAATGATAAATAATTTATGATACAAATAAAAAACAAAAAAGTGCTGAAACAATCAATTTACAGAAAATTAACAAATTTTTGATAATTTGTTTTAGTCAGCTGTCGTCTCTCTGGCTCCAGCGTCTCAAGTTTATCATCAGTTTCCTCAAATGTTTCTCTCTTTTTTTATCAACTGTTTTTATTTGTTTTTTCCACCATTTCATATAACAAAATAACAAACATTACAATACAAACAAACATCCCCTTAAAGGGGAAGCACGCCCACATCCAGAGTGTCCAGATGTTGTCTCCACAGTCAATTAGTAAATATCTGAAGTCCAGACATAGAATAAAAACAAAAAGCAAAAACCAAAAAAACCAAACAAGCTTCCAAACTGTTGAGTGATTCCTCCCAGATCATAGACCTGGACATTAGAACCCCCCACCTGGGCCCCTCCTGCGGCAAACCCTACCCCAATAACAAAAAAAAAAAAAAATTAAATAAAAGTTAATTAAAAATCCAACAATACAAAACACAGTCAATTCAGGTAACAACACATCTGTCCTTTCAGTTTTTCAATGGCCTGTGACCATGAGAAGTGTTCTTGGCACCATGCATCTTGCCACTGAAAGTTCCATATATAAAATTTCCGTGAACATGTTAGACCAGTGACATGTAGACAAGTCATGCAGAGGCTTCCAATGCAATGCGAGCATTTTTTTGGCTGCTGTTAGGCCTGCCAAGTATACACGTTGTTCTGTAGCTGACAGATTTAACATGGAAACATCACTGAGTAGGAGCACACTGGGAGAACAAAGAATTGTCTTTCCAATAATGTCAGATAAAGAAGTACTACTTTTTTCCCCAAAATGATATTACTAATCTGCATTGCCAAAACGTGATAAAATGATCCAATGTGATTTGGTGAACAGAAAGTACAAAATGGAGAGGTAATTTTATTCATTACATGTTGGGTTTTTTGGTGTTAAATAAATTCAGTGTAGAAAATTAAAATGGATGAGCTGATGATGAGGGTTTTTAGAAGCCAGTTTTATGTTGGTGAAAATGTGGTTCCAGGATATTTCAGATGAAATTAAGTCTTTTTGCCAACTATTCTGGAGCGCAAGAGGTTTATATGAGGACTCAAGAAGAAATTTATATAAAGAGGAGGCTAAACCGCTGGTAGTGTATTGCTTGGTGTGAAAAGACAATGCATCCAGTTTTCTATTCCAGGGTACTCCATAAGATTTCATTGCAGATCTCAGTCTCACATAAAAGAAAAAAGAATGGCCAGGTAAGTTGTATTGTTTTTGTAAGTCTTGAAATGCACAAAGGCCTTCATCACCACAGACATTTTTGAGAACATGAATTCCTTTGTCTGACCCCTCCGGAAAGGTAAAAGGGCGAGAGTCAGATAATAATGAATGATTGGAGAATTTGGATGCCATTTTTGAGTTGCTTTTATTATTTTCATTGCAGCTCGCCAACTGATTATCAAATGAGTAATTATGAAACCGAACTTTAATTTAGTTTTCTTGAGAGTAATAGCAGGATAAACTACATCCTGGAGTCTATAGGGATGGACTAAATGTTCTTCAATAGATCGCCAGGACGTCTGTGCATGTGGATCAAACCAAACAGATAAAGATCTCAAGGTATATGCCAGAGCATATAGTCTCAGACTGGGGAGAGATGATCCACCAGCAGTTCTGTCATGTTGCAGAGTAGACAGTTTTACTCTCAGCTGTTTATCTTTCCATATAAATTTTGATATGATAGAATGAAAATGTTCCCAATACTTTGGTGGAGGAGGCGAAGGAATCATTGAAGAAAAAGAAATAATACGAGGTAAAATATCCATATTTATAATAGAGACACATGCTTGAAATGAAAATGGCATATTAGAGTTA